CCTTAAGTAGCGAGACTTGCCGCCACTTAGAGATATCCAGAAGATCCCCTTTTTAGGAAGCAGAGTAATTACAGCTCTGTGACAGGAGAAAGGTAAGAGGTTTTGGTGTATAGAGGCTTCAAAAACAGTAAACAGGTCCTCCCTAAGAATAGGCCAGAAGAATTGATAAAATTCAGACGAGAGGCCGTCCAACCCAGGATATTTGTTTTTACTAAGCTCCTGAACAGCAACAGGATGGAACTGCTTGCCCGAAGGTATTATGAAACAGATGTGGAAGATGAGAGTACTGACTATGGATTATCAGAAACCATGCGATAACATCAATCATAATGTGTGGTTAAAACTGGTCTACTTAGAAGAGTCGAATGGACTTGTAACTTAATATTTTCTTTTAAGATCCTTCATGGGTCTGTAGTGACATTCTTTACTTTGCCTTTAAAGTTAAAATTTTGAGGCACGATAAATCACGGTTTCCTCCTGATGGACCCGTTTTTCGCAATGCTTGAATGTCGTCCACGTCCTATTCAAGATTTCCAAACGCATTATGAAAGGAGGTATATTGACAAGAATATAATATATACCCAGTGCTATGTGCCCTGGCAATCACATATTTCAGAGCAATGTTCTTGTCAATACTCTGATCACAATGCTACGCAGCCCTCTCATACTTATATGAATGAAGGTATTCTGTTCTCACAGTCATTGTGTACTCGTAAGGTGTACTATAACTAGAAGCACAAGTGGGGTGAAAAACAGAAAACAACCACCACTTTATTAACAGTTCTTGTCCTTTATTTACACTTTAATAAACAGAATCAACTTCTGAATTGACCACCACTTTGGAATCCACCACCACTTCGGAATCACCCTCCCCTTCGGAATCCACCTCTACCTCGGTATCTACCAGCACTTTGGAATCTATCACCATTCTGGACACAACTACTGGTGAGTGAAGGATAATTTTTTTTTCAAAGTCGTCACATGAGCCGTATTGCGCGACATACTCCTTTTATTATCTGTTGTCTGGCTTAAGGGGCCAAACCCGAGAAAATAATTGGGAGTCGAGATTGTATCTCCATGTCAGATTGCAAGCTCTTTTCGTTCCTTTTTGAGAAAATATAGGTTCAAAGACCGTTTTGGATCCAAGATCAGTGTTTCGTGTCAATCGTAAAAATTCATCTTCTAAGAAATAATTTTTAAAGAAGCAAGCAAGCGAGCGNTATAGGTTCAAAGACCTTTTTGGATCCAAGATTAGTGTTTAGTGTCAATCGTAAAAACCCATCTTCTAAGAAATAATTTTTAAAGAAGCAAGCAAGCAAGCAAGCAAGCAAGCAAGCAAGCAAGCAAGCAAGCAAGCAAGCATCTATCTTTAAGTTTGTTAGCCGGTCCTCCCTAAGAATAGGCCAGAAGAATTGATAAAATTCAGACGAAAGGCCGTCCAATCCAGGAGATTTGTTTTTACTAAGCTGCTGAACAGCAATATCAAATTCTTCGATGGTGACCGAACGGTCGCAGTCTTCAGAATCAGAAGAAGCCAAAGTAGGAATGTCATCTAAAATAGTAGTCTGAGCATCCTTCTTGGTATCTACTTCGCTATACAATTTCTGTAAAAATTGCGAATATGACATTTAATCTGACTAGGGTAGTCAGTAACATTACCACAAGGAAGACGACTTTTGTTAATGCTTTTAGAAGCGCAGACAGAGTTTTCTAAGGTAAAAAAATATGTAGACCAAGTATCGATCTCATTGCTATATAGGCGCTACAACGGTTTTAGTTGGGAGAAGTATCAATATCAAGTGTAATAACAGAGTGATCTGAAAAAGGGCAGGGAAAAATGCCGCAGGAACTCACGGAAGGCACCATAAAACATGGACCATATCACATGGACCATAAAACGGTCAAGTCTAGCTGTTGACATGAGACCAGGTTTAAAAGGATTGCTTCTAAACCAAGTAAACTGACTGGCGCCTGGGTTACGTTTTCTCCGAATATTACAAAGATTAAGACCACAGCACATATTTTGAAGAGTAAAGGCAACCGAACGTCTCGTTACGGTGTCATTACGAAACCTGTCGAGAGAGGGATGAAGAGTGCAATTAAAGTCCCCACAAGATAAGATTATTCCATTTTCTGTTTGCTCACAATGGAGTTGAATCTCTTTAAGAATATTCATGCGATATTGTTATTTTGAGAATAAAGAATGTTGTATAAATACTATAATTAACATAACCAGGTGATATAATCACATGAGAATGAATATTAATGTTATCATTGACTTTGATGAGAGTAGTAACACCAGTTCCATGATTACGACCTTCATTGCTAAAAGACGTATAAGGCCACGTACTCCAACACTTGTCATGAGATTTTAACTGATTAGTTTCCTGAAGAAAGATGACATTAGGATTATTACATGAATCTTTGATGTACAGTCGAATGGCAGTGTTTTTCACAGAGGACGAACAACCTCCAGTGTTCAATGATAGTAAAGAAAGGACCATGAGAAGAAGGAAAAGCTGGTAAAAATGACGCATTCCGGGATTTACAGAACAGGATCATTGGATCAAGTGTCTTGATCAGCTTCCGAATTCTATGCTGTGTCCTCTTTTGGACAAAGGAGCTATTGCGAGGAGGCTTTAGTTGTTTAACAAACCCCGGGATGTTGTTATTGAATTTTCTTGCTATTTCATCCGTTTTTTCTTAGACTTAACAGCTTTCAAGAACTTTATGAGTTCTTGGTTGGACAGTGGCCCTGCACTTTTAGGTAAACTCTGCTCTCCAATTTATCCAGTGGAGAGAGTTACCAAAGCTGATGATGAGGAAGATCATGAACTGAACAGTTTCCTGCATGAACATTGGGCCTCGATACGAACTCGCCATGCAACTGACCGTCCAGTGCAGGACACATATAATTTTAGACTTATTGGATCGCGAAGCATTGGGACACCTGTTGACATAGAGGCTGCCTTAAGGGCAGTATTTCATCGACTTCACCGACAGGTGAAAGTCAATGTGTCGTTCGGTTTGGTTTTGCGCCACTCATCTACCGGTGAGCTGAGGTATTTTCATCCCTGCTACAACAATGCGCGTTTTTTCGAGAGAACCATTTGTCATCGCAAGCC